GTGTTTCGGCCTTTACAGGCCTTCAGAGGTCTAATACAAACAGAACATGTTGGCTTCATTTGTATTTTTGTATTTGTTTTCTTTGCCCAGTGCTTAAACTTTGGAACAATTGTTTTCTGGTCTTTATTCTATATTTTGTATATGTATGATTGTATATATTTTTACATATCAGCCAACATGTTCTGTTTGTATTAGACCTGGAAGGCCTATAAAGGCCGAAACGCGTTAGGTCTATTTCATTAGCCCTTGTATGTTTTTATATTTGTATATGAGGTATGAATGGGCCCTTGTTTGTTATTTTAATTTGTGTTGAATAAATACATGTATATTTTTGTATGTTTCATAATTAGATTTTTAGAGTTGGCCCTCTTCTATTCTTGACTAACCTTTTTAGGTTCTGAATTCTAGGTTTTAGATTCAGTTTTTTCCCCTTTTCTCTTTTTTGTCCTCTGTCACCAGACCAGAGAAATACATTCTAATCCACCACTCCAAATTACATTACATTGTACTATTCATTGCATTACATTGCAATCACTATTCCAATCTACTATTCCAAATGAGAAATACACTAAAAGAAAGAGGATATATAGCCCTTCTTGGTGAGAAGACAGATATAAGGACCAATGTCCCCTCTAAGCTGTGGAGTCTTGTGAGCATAGGTTCTACTTTGGGAGTGAGTGATTTGGCTACTGCATAAATTAGGTTGCTCTGGAGCCCTCCTTCCTGAGCTAAGACAAAAATGTGTGAGCCAGAAGCTAAAAACCTGTGGACTAGCACTCACACTAACGCAGCTGGAGGGAACGTTGGTGAGGACTGAAGGCCGAATGAGACCGGCATTGTAGAATTAGCTTAGTGGAATGTAATGTAATAGCGCTGAACTTCTTCAAGAGAGAGAATTCAGCAGTGTCTACATTACCACTGTTAAAGCCTTGCTTCTTGCTGTTTTCACTTCTCAAAGAGCAGGGGTCCCCAACCTTTTCAAGCCTGCAGGCACCTTTGAAATTCTGACCCAGGATGACGGGCATGACTGCAACATGGCTGCTTGAGGAGGGGGAGCCAGCCATGAAACGTCAGGGATGTTATGGGATAACTCTTAATAGTAACACTTCAACGTTTGAGGCAGCAGCCCCATTTAACAGGACGCCTTTTGAAATATGGTTTTAAAATACTTTCTTGCACACACGGTGAAGATCCTCGTGCTGTGGTTGCGGCTGCTACTGAAGCAACTTTTTTAAAAAAAAATCTCCACAGCCTGCCAGACTTCCAGTAGTCAGTCAGAAGCCCTGCTGGGCAAAAGCAACACCTGGCCCCCCACCCACTTTCTAAGAAACACTTGGTGGGCA